ACCTTTGGCTGGAAGGGCTAGCTTAAGTGCATTGCTAAATGTAGGGGATGTCTTTAAGGTTATGGTCAACAACTCATGGTTAGATGAACCTAATACCCAAGTTAATGTATCTATGCAAAATCACCAGGTGGTTCTATAGTTGGTCAAGGACAAGTTTCTTACTGATGGTTCCTAATTCAAAATAGTTATTTAAACAATTGATAATGGTGTGATTTGATCAAGGAAACTAAGTGAGAAAAAACTTTAAAATAAAATTGTTAATACAATACAATACTATTGTGAGTTCAAGAAAGTAGTCTTTAAAGAAGTATATAAGTGACTAAATTTTTCATTCTACTTTAATCACTTAACCACACCTTCCACCACTTGGAGGAGTCTCACTCATAACCTTTATAAATTTTATTCTCAACTTAGAAACTTGCTAACCCCATAAATGGCTTCTATACCACTCTACTTTTGCATTTAATCTAAATGCTCCACATGTCCAAACCCACTACAAACACCTAAAAGTATCATTAATATATCTGCCTATTACGCTAATGCTATCTCTATTCACCTTTGCCTCATTAGTAGTCCAAGACCATCCATGTTACAGTCTAATCTCCCAAAGACTAAACTATCCGTCCATGAGTGGTCATCTAATGACCACCCTTTAGCATTTTTAGGATGTTTAGAGACATGAGGAACACCCTTCTTTAATGTCCTTTCTTCAGTCCCCATCAAGTCCTTCTCCGTCCATGGCAGTGCTCACTAACACTACCACTGGGTTAGGGCTTGAAAGCCTGACAACAAATGCAATTGACTTTTGGCACTTCCTCACTACATGATTTTATCTCTAGTCACTACACAAGAGGATTGTATTTTTTTTCCTTTTCACAATCCAAGGTTTTATCAGAACACCATGGCCTTACATGAGCCTCATAGGTACTCTCCCCACCTTCTGCCTTTGGGTGCTCAAGCCATATGGCTAGAGCAAGGTTTTGATGAGCCATGCCAAGTATCCAAGAACATCATAGACAAAAGATTAGTTCGAGTGGTGAAATTAAAGCTTTCATAAATGCTTAATTTACCAAGTTACTTTACTTGTCTGTCCATATTCACTTTAGCCTAGTGGTTATGTCATCACCCACCATATGGGTGTTGCGGTTACACTAACCTTTCTTGGCCAAACTAATTCCACTAGAGTCTAACCTTTACTTTCGGGTTTAGAGATTTGTGCCTCACAAAATATTTATGAAAGGGTTAGGAGATTATGCTGTGTTAGTAAGACTTATTAAGGGGTGAGTGCCCCATAAAGTAAAGTCTTTATTATAGAATAGAAAAATACCCTAAGTACAGAGGTGGTAATTCTAAAGATTCTAGTATATATTATAGAGTATAAGTTATATTTCAAGTAGATGCAACTAGTTTTGAAAGATAATGTAAAAATGCTAAAGTATAAGATTTTAAATTTGGATTTTCCAAAATTTTATTTAGCCCAGTACTACTCAAACTAAAGGATGTTTAACCCCAAATATCCCAAGACTATTAATTAATTGAAAAAAAAGTGCATTTTTATTCATAAACCCTTTTCCTTTATAGTTGAACCCATTAGATAATTTCTTAAGTGATTCTTTTTGGTTGCTTACACAAAAATGATAGAGTTGGATATGGATAAATCTAAAGCAGAAAGCTCTTTACAAAATTTTATTATATGGTGTGTGAAATTTAGTGCCTAAGTTGGCATAGAATAAAGGAGAGGATAATTATGTCCTCAAGGAAGAAACAGTCAAGGAGAGGATGGGATTGCACGTGATAATAATATGCATGCTAATGTGTCAAATACACCTAGGAAATTAGTATGAGGTAATCTGTAGAGTATGGGGTAATCCTTAAACCAAATATGAAGTTGGTATGATATTGAAATCACCTATCAAAATTTAGTAAGTACAATAGATCAAAATGAGCACTTTTAGAGGGTTTGAATGAGACTCTTTCAACTAGTTAAAGGTGTAGTTAAATAATTAAAATAGAATAGAAAATTTAGTCGCTTACAAAGAACACCATTACAATGTTCATGACACTTTTTAATTTCTATATATATGTTGAATTAACTTTAGATAAATATATTTATGGAACTTTATGATAATAAATATAAAGCCATTTAAAAATAAAAATAAATTTAAATAGCTTCTATATAAAAATAAGTATAAGGTTATTATACATTTATACATAAGTGTGAATACAGAAAATATAGTAATTATTTATATAGTGATATATATTTTTTAATACAAAGCTTCCAACATTAGTAAGTGTATTAATTTATCATCACTAAAATACATAATCTGTGCACATAATCATTTTCTCGTTTACATACTCTATATTTTTAAATGCATATATGATAATTAAAGTTTTAATTAGTATGAGTGGAGATTCATAAAGAATCAAATAAATACTAATTTTCTTACAAATATCATAATATGATTCATAAAGAATCAAATAAATACTAATTTTCTTACAAATATCATAATATGATTCATAACAATAATACTTGAATAGCAAGTCAGCATAATAATTCAAATTATTTCTATAATCTGATAATATTTTTATTTTTCTTTAATTTTAAAATTTTTAAATAGCTATATATTTTATTTAGTTATTAGCATGAAGACAAGTTTCCAGCTCGATAAAACTATTTTAATTTATCATTAAAATATTTTATAATAAAAATAAAAATTCTACTTTGTTTTTTCTTATTTATTTTAAATACTAGACTCTTATTATGTTTTTTGTGAGTAAAAATATTAAAATAAATATATTAAAAATATTATATAACGTTTAAATATATAAAAAGCTCATAGAGTAGTGTATATATTGTATAATGTGTATTCAACTATTTAGGAATATAAAAAGGCTGTCAACATCTTTTAAAATTTATAATAGTTACATATGAAATGATGAATTTAATCAAATTGAATTTATGTATTTTATTATTTTGCATACTTATAACAAGATCAGTATCCCCTTTATATAGACCCAAATTTGGAAAGCTTAATTTCTTAAGTCCAAATGATATTGCAAAAATACTAGGTGCATTTACTAATTTAATTAGCAAAATAAGTAGAGATAATTCATATGCAGCTAATTATGGGGAT